TGTATGTGAGGTTTCTCCAGGTAAAGATAGAGGTGTTCCGGGTGAGATTCCCTTCGTCAACCTCGGCGGGGGCATCGGGGGTTTCGTGGTTGCGGGCCTTCTCGTTGCGTTGCGCCTCTTCATCGCAGATGGCAGCATTGTGCGCCTTGAGTTTCTCGCGGGGAATGAGAAGAGAAGCACCACCGTTACCAGCTGCTTTCCAGTAGGATGTGAAAATAACTGTCAGGACGGCGAAGAAACCCCACCAGGCCCAGACGACACCGAAGTTTCGCCACAGTTGAGAGTGTTTGTAGTGAAGGTATCCAAGATACTGATCGCCGGTCACAAAGTTCGCGCCTGGCAACGCACCACCAACACCCGCACAAGCTTGGTTATCAGCTCCGACGTCTTCGTAGCCAGGGCCACTTGGGATCAGGTTGCGACCAACACAGGGGAATGTGCGGTCATGGAACTCGTTCGTCAGGCCAGCTTGGAAAGCATAGGCAAAGGGATTCGTGTAGTACACTTCGAGGAACCAGTTCTTCATCTTAGGCTTGGGAATCATGTAACCAGCGTACATGACAATACCCTTGACTGCAGTTCCTGAGATCTTAGACGCGGCTTCGAAGGTACTGAAAGCGGATCCAATGAATCTGAAGACAGCCGTAATACACTGAAAAAGTCATAGTTAGTCTTAGTTCAAAGAAATCGAATGAGAAACGACGACTTACCAGAGTTGTCGAGAACAGAATAATCCAGAAGGTGAAGAAAGCAGCCGCAGTGTGTTTCAGGCCAGACATCCAGTAGATGACGACCGAGAAGATAGTGCACTGGAACAACAGAACCGGGAAATCCGCCATGATTTGAGCCAAGGAAAATGCAGCCGGGTGGTACATAGCAAAGGCCTTGTGTTTGAGCAAAACCGGACGACCCTTGAAAGATTCAGTCACCTCAGACATGGCAACGATACAATTGTACAACAGCGAGAAGAAGACAGCACCACCCTTCGTGAAGAGACCCAATGAGTTGTCGGGCGAGTCATAGAAACAAGAACCAGCGATCAAGGCCATGATACATGAACAAACTTGTTTGATGATGAATGTTGACATATCACCCCACAGAATCTGGTACTGTCGCTTGGTGCATGCAATGAGCTGAGCCCAGAAACTGATAGTCAGACTACTACCCTTGGGCAGGTGGTTAGACCTTTCCCACGCAACGGACTCCTTGAATGCCTCTGTGCGCTCGCGGCAGATTTCGGAGTCGGGGTAGTCGTATGTTGCAATCTCACGAGTGTAGATGCTGGACTTTTTGTATTCAGCCATAATGGCATCGGCAGTTCTGGGGAATGTGCGTTCGCATTCGGGTCGGACTCTCCGCTCTGTCGGGACTGTCAAACCAGTGAGGAAGTCACCTATCGTTGTGTTAGTTGGTGTCGGGGTTTTGACAGATGCAGGAAACACTTACCGACGTTTGCTCCCTCGGTGTGGATGAAGCCAAGCTTTTCCATGAAAGGTCTGGCTTCAGTTGCAGGACCATAGTAGATCTGAAGTCCTTCGTCAAGGACAAGGACCTTGTCGAAGAGATCGTAAATTCCATTTCCTGCTTGGTAGAGGGTCACAATGGTGGTAAGGCCAAGAACATCAGTCATAGCACGAAGGGCCTTTGCCCACTCCAATGCAGTACTGGCATCCAGACCACGGGTACTGTTATCCCAGGAGTAGATAGAACCCCTGGTCGCGAGACACTCGATGATAGAAACACGCTTCCGCTCACCACCGGAGACACCACGGACGAACTCATTTCCAACCTTAGTACCGGCGGTGTGAGAAATTCCCATAGACTCCAGAAGGAATGCTTTCGTCTCGGCTGTGTACTCATCGACACTGACTCCTTCGGGAAGATGGAAAGGAACCTTAAGTCTAGCCGCAAAGTCCATAGTCTGACCGACTGTCAAGCGGGGGTAGAACAGCTCTTCTTCTGAGTTCATGATAATCTGGCCATGATAGGCGGAAGCTTCCTTGGGAGTCATGCTTCCGAAACGCACGTCACCCGTGATGGAGTGGAAACCTTCGCGTTGATTCGTGAGCAACTTGAGCAGCGTGGTACATCCTGAGCCCGGACGGCCGAGCACAAGAAGCATTTCTCCGGGCTTGACGCATCCATGACTCTCTGACACAATCGACTTGAGCGGGGGCTTTCGGCGCCAATCCTTGATCAATTGAGGAACGTTGAATTGCGAGATCATGTTTTCGTTGACGGCGGCTTCGGCGGCAAGAACATCGACGGTTAGGTTCTGCCATGTAACACCCAGCTCGCGCTTCTTGAAGCCAGCTGCTTCATCCCGTTCTGCGTTTCGGATCACATGGGATGTCATGTGCCAATCCGCCGCCTTCTTCTTGGGGGGTGGAGAGTCATCCTCATTGTCGACGTTCAGAGTCTCGGTACTCTTTGATTCGTGAAGGTTGGGCTGGGGTCCGTGGAGGGTCTCCACGCTGGTGAAATCGTGAGTGTTGAGCTTGTGGACGGGCGTATGGTTCTTCTCGTCTTCGTCATTGTGATATCCGCTGTGCAGCGACGCATCATCGGGATGCTGCTCCATGATGGGAGACTTTGAAAGAGTGGAGATTGGTCAGGGAACAAAAAATTATTATAAGAGCAGAAGTAATTAAATTGGGAGGACTAGCATATTTATCTTAGAATCTTCTGCAAAGGGGGCGAGTTATTATATGTGCCGACTCCAGACCGAGGGAATAGGAGATCGGAAGGGCGATATTGAGCAGTGGCCTGCGATTGGCTGAGACGATTTGTTACCATTATTTCGTTCAGTATTGCTGCTAATGTGAAAGATGTTGTTTTACTCCTATGAATAGATCCAAAGTAACCTGGAAAGCGCGGCACAAAGGCCGAGTTCCATAAGGGAACCCACTTTTGGGCAAATCTTGGGTCCAGTGAACTAGTTGTATTCCAGGTCTAACCAATAATGCCTCAACAGATAAGCATTGGAAGCCGGAAAGGTCCGATTCCTCCGACTTCTATGGAGTACCTGTCTGGATCCATGAGGCTTTTAGGGCTTCTAGGGCTACTATTTGATTGATGCAGATCACAGTACAAAGTATGGTGCATGTTTTGGCGATTGTTCCCACTTCTCGTTTCATGGTGGATCACTACCAGCTGAAATTGCCGGGCAATACTTTGTATGAGTGGCTTCGAAACCTCTACGCGATGTTCGTCATCCGTGGCGATTGAACGAGCTATAAGCGGATATATGTTTATATGTCTTCCGGATAAAAATTTAAAGTTCTAGATTGAGGCGCCTTGGCGAAACCAAAGTTCCCCCTCAAACGAACTGCCAAAGCCAGTTATGCCTAGTATGAAATAATCAACAATGCCGAGACGCGGAAAGCGTGACGATTCCGCAGGGTGATACGTCCCGATAACCGGGTTCCCTGACGATCCCGATCTACCCGGGTCTTATCTAATCGGATTCTAGCCCGGTCCGTGTTCCCAATCAGGCAATATGCGCCCTCGTTCCCAAAGAGGCAATTTGCGACTGCCTGTCTAGATCCGTTTTGCGGGTCTGCGCAACATCTTGCGTGTTGAATGAAGAGGTCCAACGGTTCTGACATTTCGTTCAGTTATTAGCACTGGCCGCGTCTATGTAACCCCCCACCTCTAGACCAAACTCTAACGAATCAATTGATACGCAGTGAAATGATTTTTACTTCCAGGGGTTCGTAGGTCCAGGCCCCCCACACATCATGTATAAATGTAGTTGGTTTATATACGAATTTACACCGCAAGAAGCGTTCTAATAGTGCTCTGCTTTTTGCCTATACCTTGTTTACCTACAGCAGTCTCTTGTATCCCCACCAAAGTTCCAAATGAGTAATTTCCACTCTGGGAAATAGCAGGACTCGCCGCTACTCTCGGAGACCGACATTTTGAAAGGTGATCCGTGCTTGAACAAGTGGAGATTGATCGGCAAGTCACTTCCATTGGCCGGAACTGGCTCGGCTCCGTTATGACGACTTTTGTATGGGAAGAATGGTGAATTAACGAGGCCCGTAGTAAGGGGGGGAATTTGTTCTTGCTAGGCAGATTAATTGACGCATCGGTATTAAACCGGGTATTCTTATATATTCTTCCGGGAATATCACGTCATGCATGCCTTGGGGCTGCTGGGGGTCTCAACCACATCAAAGACATGCTCCTGAGTGCCATCCAATATACAATCTACTCCCAAAGACTGTGAGCTTGGACACGACAGCGCTTCCAGTGTAGAAGTACTTCTTCCCCGTACGGAGTACTCCGTACAAAGATGAGCACTAAAGATCAGATTACTCAATGAGCAGCGGGGTCGGACGACGGGGCTACCTTGAGAGCTAGTCTCACATTGTACGGAGTACCGGAGCCATACGGAGCACTGGATCAACAGGCTGCTCTTGGCTCAGGTGGGTTGTGGCAGGTGGGGTGGAAGAATTATCGAAAGTCAGACTCAGATGTATTCACTTGGGCCCATACTTATTTACATATAAATATCCTCAAGACGACAGCAACGAATGTTCACAATCTGTTCATTCAGCTTCCCTATGGTCAGAAGGAACTAACTTCTAGTAGCGATGTGTATTCAAGGGCTGGATTGTATCCCTTGACTGAACAGCATCTCACTAAAGAATCTTTGACAGGGGTGTAACTAATCTTATGCATGGAGATAAGAGGTGCATTCTAGCATGATCAGAATATGTCTCATACAGTAATTGCGCGATCTTCATTCAATAATTGCGTGTATCAATCTGATAATTGCAACAACCCTGCAGATGTCAAGTAGCGGATCAAATGTACAACCCTGTACAACCCTCAACACCATCCGTAAGTCTAGACACGTCCGTCGCGTACATTCCCTCAAATTCCCCACGCCGAAGAAAAACCTTCTTCCCATGAGTGCCTTCAAGCCATCGGAATGAGCTAGACCCATGCCTGAAGTTCCCCGACATGAGGGTCTTAGCCCCAGACCCAGGATGGCAGATAAGAAGGCCTATCAGGCACAAAGCACGAAACTCGGGGATGTAGATAAGAAGGCCGTGCCAGGCATTATTGGTCATTGGAAAGGGGTACTCTCTCTTCTGCTAATCCAATCCAAGAGTATCAAGCACTCCACTACTACTCTAGTCAGGAAATAGTAAGTGACCCTTCAGACAGATACCTTGTTATTACCTACAACAGCATATTGACTAGTTACGTAGACTTGACCACTAACACACAGGATATATATATTTCCACCTTGGAGTCAACGACCAGCAATTCCACCTCAGTTCCACAGCAATTCAAGAAGACAGCTCAACATGAAACTCACTACAATATTCGCCACCATCTCCATCTCGGCTCTGGCAGCAGCAGGCCCAGTCCCACTCAATCCTATTAGAAATAATAACCGACGAGGCCTCCTCCCGACCCCCATGCAAGCTGTGGAGAAACTTTTCCCTGGCTCGGGGATTCCCCAGCTGGCCGGGAAAGTTGAGAAGACTTTCAATATTTGTACGTACATGGCTTTTGCTTTTGCATCGTGGTAACTACGACGTCGGCTACTGAGACATACTCCGGTTTCTAGGATTGAGTGAGTCATAGGTCCTATGTCGACGATGTATCGAGGCGCAGCTAGATGGTGTATTATTATTGGGTGCGGAGTATAGGATCGAATTGCTAGTTATGGGGCGATGGGGTTGATGGTGTTTTATTTTGTTTATTTTTTTTTCTCTTGTGGGTTGTGCAGCGAGTCTGGCATGATGTTCCTTACGCTGGTTCCATCTTATATCCATTTCTAATATTTCAGAGGTGTTCAAAATGAAGGAATTGAAAAACTGCCAAAAAAAGAACAAGACTGGGGTCTTCCAGGAGAGATGGTGATTGGTGGACAGAATTAGTCCTGCAGGGAAATCCATAGTCATGTGACTCAGTCTGATAGGGCCGTAGTTGGGTACTTTGGTCCTGAGGTCCTCTTCTTCTTTTCCCTAGTGCTCTGTTGATAGTTTTTGATAGTCAATACGAGTTTTATTTCTCTTCTTCTGTTTCTTCCGGTAAGAAGATATAATTGTTATTTTTCGTTGTCCAATGAATCATCATTCGCCAAAACATAGATCGAACAAAATGCCATGCAAAAATTGGACATTGTAAGTCCATAGATTATGTACCAAAGATAAAACCATCCCGACTAAAACATGTCTTCCATATCCAAGTCAAGGAACTCAGGATTGCCAACCGCCATATCCGCCGCATTAAGCACATCGTCAATAGCATCCATGCCAGCCCCATGATCAAGTCCCATATCCTGACCTACACCAATACCACCCCCATCCATCCCAGCAGCCGCCGCATCCGCCGCCGCCTTATCCAGCATCTGATTGATATTATCCGGATCATCCTCATTGACCGTATCACCCGAAACACCAGCAGCGGAAGGCTCAAGATCCATCCGATCCTCATGCCCCTCAACACCAAGATGCATATTCTGAATAATATTCGAGACGTCGATGTTCGAGACCTGCGACGGCGGCGCCATGAGCATATTAACCCGTCGCGCAAGTCGCACCACGACCTCGGCGCGTAGCGGATCACTCTCGGAGATCTTGGGCACGTTCTCGTGCTGTAGTGACAAGGCGTCGCGCAGCGTCAGGATCGCGCACCGTGGTAAAGCCTCCTTGCTTGGGTCGACTGGGTGGTAGTTGTTTTGGTCGACGGCGAAGGACTCCGTCATCGGAGCGCACACCATCGTCGTCGCAATGTCTAGCGCGATATGTCCGTTACCTGCTTCGCTCTGCTGCTTGACTTCGTCGATTATCGCGCCTAGCACACGTGTTGCGCCCAGCATACGAATCCCTGCTAGCACCTGCCGGTGCGTGTATGCGTGTGGGGCCATGCTGATTCCTGGGTTGGCGCTCCAGAGGACGAGAGCTTGTAAAGTTGTGCGGATGCTGGCTATTAGCCCGCCCGCGGAGTGGGACGTCCAGGTGTCAAGTTCGGAGCGGCGACAGCTGCCGACGCGGCGGAAGGAGATGTATGGCTCCAGGGCATCGAGGATTGGTTTGATGTCTGTCCGCGACTGGTTTCTCGTTCGGACATTTTTTAGTTGCTCTTCTAGTGGACAGCCGGTTATGTTCAGGACTGTTTGGTGGATAGCTTGGGCTTCGCCGGAGATTGAGTTGGGTTTAACGAGGGAGTGGAGGGTTTTGATGGGGATTGTGGGGTCGGTCTCTGATTCCCAGATGTGATTGCCCAGCCATGTCAATGCGACGACTAGGGACGGGAGGAGGAAGGGCTCGAGCAGATCTTTATGGCGGTTAGCTAAGTATCCAGTGGAAGCGATCGCGTGAAGATTTTCTTACATTCAAATCCGCCTTTCAGAGTGTCGAAATCTAGCTTTCCGGACTCGCACGCCCCAAGACTCTGATCGAACAATGTCGTCACAAGCATGTAGAATTCGTGTGGGCTGCAAGAGGACATGGTCTCTTCACTGATGCCCTCGGCAATGAACAGAGCTCCGATCCAAGCGCCGAGATCTTTGTTTTGCTTCTCGCTCAAGTCGCTCAGCTTCTGGCTGCAAGCGCCCCGGTCCAAGAGTTTCAACAAGAACGAGTCATTGTTCGAGATACCCATATCAGTAGGGCTCAGATCATATCGGTATTTGAACGCAAGAACGAGCAACAAGATACTGCCAAATTCATCATAGACAGGCTGATTTTCGCCTTGGTCCTCGTCCCACTTCCAGGAATCAAGGACAGCGCAAAGAGGTTGCAATACTTGCTTTGTATTGCGGAAAAGCAACATGACGTCCAAAGTCTGCGGGCGGCGTGAGAGCGAATTGCAGATATTCTTGAGCGTCATTGTCTCTTTTTGATGACACAAATTTTGCATGACCTTGAAGAAGTTAGCATGTTGATACTCCCAGGAATTGATATCGGATCGAACATACATCGACCACAGCGCCAACTATCGCGCCTGCATTACCCTCCATCGACTCGATCTCACCAATAAGTTGCTCAGCACGTTCATGATTGTTATTGATTTGCGAAACGAGATCATCCTTGACATAAGGGCCGCCACCAGGCAGTGTCTGCATGGGATTTTCTCCGAGAAGCTGTTCAATGCTGGATTCTCGTATGAGCTTGTGCGACGCACAAGCGAAGAGGAACTCCTGGCGAGCATCTGATAAAACACTGCTGCCCTGCATGGAGAACATCTGAGAGAAGGAGGGGAATGCGTTCGGATCCAGACGGCTTAAGGCGTGGCTGATACACATTTCCATGGAGATCGGCACCATGGATGCTGCCGAGATGGCTGCAAAAAAGGCGGGGAGCTTGTTGACAAGGAAAGACCGGAATAAGAGCATCGTGCGGCCAGATTCGTTACGATACACGCCGTTGGAGAGAACATCAAAGGCGGCTGTGATGATTTCCTCGATGAGAACGTCATTGTGGCCCTGGTAAGGGTTAATCAAATGTTGTAAACAACTCTGACTAGAAATCGTGTCAATTGGACTTACCTGGTATCGATTGGTGAGGTAGTTGATCAGAATAGTGTCATCGACCAAAGGACGTCCCACGACCTGTTACTAGTCAGCCATGAACCAACATCGTAGCGTAAGATAATCGTACCATCGAGTTGATGTACACATAGAGCCCAGCTCTAGTGTTAATAACGGGGCCATCCATGACGGAAGACTCAAACTGGAGGGCATTGACATTAACACCGTCAATAGCAGGCCCACCCAAAGCCTTAGAAGGTTGACCGGGGTAAAGATGAAACACTTTCTGCAACCCCTCCAAACGATGCCTCAGCGGCAGAGAGACATCGATACAGAGAGGCAAGTAGCTTGACAAAGCCTGTCCTAGCTTCGCCTTCAATTCTAGAGGATATCGTTAATAACGTGTAACAAACACGGAAACCACATATACATACCTTGATTGTAATCACTGGACAACACCTCCAGCCCTTTACCAGTCCCCGACAGAGCGGCAAGCAGAATCCCCAGCGACTCAAACAACGAGACCGCATCAGGCGACCCCATCAAGCCACCCGTCGCGTGCTCAGAGTCAGAGCTGTGATTGTGCCACGCCACGACGGCCAGAATCCAGTCTACGGTAGCCGAGTATATATCCGCAGCTTCGATGACAGTTTTCGGGATTGACCCGGTGGATATGAACACCATGACATCCTGAATGACTTTGATATCAGTCATGAGCGTGGACGGTTTGTGCTTCTTAGCCTTGGACGGAGAGCCGTGTCCCTGTCCCTCCTCACCATCGCCATCACCAGTCCCCAACGCATCCATAACAGAAGAATGCTTCAGCAAACTCGTCAGCGCAGACGAAGACCTAACCCTCCCAATCTTGCACAGTCCATCGACGTACAATGGCAAAAGAGGGTCCCAGGTAACACTGGAAGAAGCGCGAGCTTCAAGGAGCAGATCAAGGAGCTCGTTTTCCTTAACCGGTGCGCGGGCAAACATCAGCCCGGACAAGTCCGTGAACTCGTCTATATCTATACGGTTCGCCAAACATTGGTGGAGGAAGGTCCTCCATTGTTCGGGGATTGCCCTGTCCGACAGCATTGTCATCTCCACAACATAACACTGCGCCCCGGATGTTGTAGAAATAGGAATTGCAAGTTACAGACTCGCGCTAGTCATTTTTCTTTAGAGGAATAGGTCACGGGTTTTGAGGCTGGGAGGGATAGCTCTTTCTTTGGTCGGGGCTCCGAGGCTCGTGAAGTTATTACGTAATCACCGCGTGACAAAGCATATCCATCAGCACGTGACTTGTATCTTTGGGTGCAAGCCACATTTTGATAGCCACATGTTCTGAGACAGCATTGGTAGGCCTTGGCAAGTGCTGCAGCACTTGTCAATGGCTAAGCGTTGGACATGACAGATTTAACACCTGATTTGGATCTATAGATTTCTCTAGGGTTTCATGGGATTGAAGGATTGAAAGTTTCATGCAACCGTAGGGCTCTACTTTGATCTACAGTTTACAGGGCACAGGTATTTTTGAATCATTCATTGAATCTCGTTATCATCATGACAATCCCAAGTGCAGAACCAAAACAAACAGCGGTGCTCAAGTGGGGATATCAATCAAATGCAACAGGGGAAAAACCAAGCGCCTCTATCCATAACCCGCTTGACATAAAGGGTAAAAAGCTATTTTGAAAGAAAAGAATAAAATGCATCGAAGCTGCCTCTCCTCAAAAGAGGACAGAAATCATCACAGAACACCGCCCAGAATAAACGGGAGGGCGACTGATCTACCACCAGTCACCGTGCTCCTTCATGGCCTCAGCAACCTTGGTGAAACCAGCAATGTTGGAGCCAGCCACGAGGGAAGGAAGCACGCCCTCGGTGGGGGTGACATACTCCTTAGCAGTAGCAAGGCCGTTGTTGAAGCAGTCCTCCATGATCTTCTGAAGACGGGAGTCGACCTCCTCGCGGGACCAGTTGACGCGGGCGGAGTTCTGGGCCATCTCGAGACCAGACACGGCGACACCACCGGCGTTGGCGGCCTTACCGGGAGCGTACCAGATGGCAGCAGCGCCGGGGTTGGCAGTGCGGTGGGCCTCGAA